CCAGAGTCCGTTGACACCACTGGGGACATGCTCCTCGACGGTGGAAAGGTACTTGAAGTTCTTGCCGCCATCATCGGAGTAGGAGACGGAAATGCGGAAGTAGGTGTAGTGCAGGTCGGCTCCGGTGCGGTCGTGGTTGCGGTAGGCGTACAGGATCCGGCCGCTGGGCAGCTGGAGAGGGAACGCGTTGTCCATGTCGTGCTTGGCGACTGGGCCGCGGAAGACTTCGCCAATGTGCTGCCACGACTGCGCGCCGTCGGTAGACTTGACAACTCGCATTATCTTCGTGTCGCCTTCGGTTGCGCCATACCCTCCGATCAAGCTGCCGTCGTTCATGAAGCTGACGCGGAGATAGTGACTGTTGGTATCGATGACTACGGGCTCGCCGGCTTTGACGACGCGGCCAGGGAGGCGCTTGTCCAAGGAGACCGGGCTGCTGGCTCCGAGGCCGACGAGAGCCAGAGTGGCGACAAGGGTCTTGGTGAGGTTAAACATTATGATTGACTGGGAAGTGAGGACTCGAGAGTGACGAAGCAGTCGGGATCACTAGCCTCGAGTCTGGATGTGCTTCCTTATGTATTGCATCCCCTCAACGCCCTAATCTTACGAGACGCCTGGTACAGCAGTCTGATGGCATGTACTGGTGCCATTGTGGTTGTTTTGCTACGGCCTTGAGCAAGGTTGGCGATGCAGTCTCCCTGGGCTTGTAATTTGGCTGCCTGACAGGAGAGCGGGTAAGATATTCTTAATTGGGAATTTTGCCAGGGCCAGACCATCGAGCTGTCATCTTTTTCTGGGGTTCGTGCTGGGCGGAGGCCATGTCCGGATCCTTCGCTGAAAGCACCCCTGTTTCTCGCTTTTACGACTTACCGCACGCAATTCTCAGTTAGGCACGACCACATTAACAACATGGTATGATTTTGCTTCTTCAGAATCCCTTGAAATCAGGAGAATAGCGTTCAACCGCTGCAAGTCTACTTGGGTACTGATATCTATCACGGCAGATCTCAGATTCAAGCTGCGACACAGACTCTACTTGAGATTCTGTCAAAAGTCATATTTGATGAGGCAGCATCACACAACCCGGCGCTTAGAATGCACCCTGTGTAACTGTTCGTTGTCTTCCGATCCCCTGGACCCACAGAAAACACAACCAAGGCAGCTTCACCAAAGTCCCATTTACGACTCCGAAGGATCGTGACCCTGGGACCCATGTGGTGGGTTACAGCTACTCCGCCTCAAAGTGGCACCCTCGGACTATTGCAGCTTCAAGATTGACAACCTAAAAATGCGGTCTGACTTTAAGCTCAATGCAGAGAAACGGCGAATTCGGGAGCAACCGAGGCTAGTCAATGTGATGCTTAACGTTGGGTTCGTTGCAATAATAGCGAATTCAACGAAGTGATGCGTACATTGGTAAATTCCTACAGGATCCCAGGCAACTGCTTAACACCCCCCACATTGATCCAACAACATGGAAAACGGCATGAATTCAGTTGTTGGCCCATGATACGATGATCTGGGGGTGAAGCGACAACACACTTGCCTTCCTACTCCAGTGCTTCTACAATAGCAGTGCACTTCACCTCCACAACCAGCTTTGGACTTGGCAACTCTCTCACCCCAATGGTCGTCCGAGCCGGAGCCTCCTCAACGTTCGGATAAAACTCATTCCATACGGCGTTCATCCCGGAGTAATCCCTCTCCATATCCACCAGGAATATCGTCGCGTCAATGACGTTTCCGAGGCCGCCTTTGTTTGCAGTGGCATGCTTGATTACCTCCTCAATGTTGCGGAGGATTGCGGCTGTCTGTTTTCGTACGTCCAACACTTGAGTGCCGTCGCTTCTTATTTCGACGCCGTCGAAAGTACCATCTGGGCGCCTGGAAGAGGTCCCTGAAATGTACAGTGTTCGATGACTTGTGGTAGGCGACAAGCGTCCGCGGGGATAGTTGGCAAGGCCAGTGACGGTGCCTGTTGGAAGAATGACTGCGTCGCCATTGCCGGCCATGTTATCTGTTGATACGATAATGTCGTGAATGATGAAAAACTGCGAGCGAAATCTTGACTTGTTTTGCCCTGAATAATGATAGTTGGGAATGTTTCAAATGACTGAACTGGCCGCCTTCGGATGCGAGTTCCGGTATATTGTCTTTCTCGGAATAGGCTTGTAACTTGCTATTCAGTGAGATTATCATCCATGAGTTGGGAATATTATTGAGCCGTATCGGAATGTTTCCCTCGGTGTTTTGGTTCATTCTCCGCCGATTTACCGGCGTCATCTTCATTTACGCCGAGGCTGCAATAAGGTTCACCTCGGGCATTGCAGCCGAACACCGCATGGTGCAAGATTGAATTGACTCGTTCATCCCAACGCGAGCATCTTGTATAATAGCCAATATCAATATTACCTCGGTCAAAACTGTACAAAGGCCGTTAGTCGCAAAGGTCTTCAGACTTCAACTAATACAAGTGAAGCGCTACATACTCACGGATTCTTGTGAACGCTCGACTCAAGGTTAATCATTTTCAGCTTGATATAAAATCGATAGAAACCATGGCGAGTCTCGCAACATGCCCGCCCTTGACCAGAGAATCGGTCTTTGAAGCACGAAAGCTCATCCAGACTCATGTTCACAAAACTCCGGTCCTCACAAACAAGACTCTCAGCCAAATGGCGTCCACGCCGAGGGCATCTTCTACCCTCGGTGACAGAAAGCCTGCCAAACCTATCATCAGGCTCTGGTTCAAGTGCGAAAACATGCAGCGCATAGGTGCTTTCAAAGCTAGAGGAGCATTTCATGCCATTGAGAGACTCAAACAGGAGCCCGGGTGGCTTGAGAATGATGGAAAGACCAAAGGAGTCGTTGGATTCAGTGCAGGTGAAATTGAGAACAGTCACTTAAGCCCCCGGAATTGAAGCTGACAATCGCATGCAGGAAACCATGCACAAGCATTGGCACTGGCAGCCAGAGAGAACGGCATTGCAGCGCACATTGTGATGCCAAGCACCACTCGCCCTTACAAAATTGACGCCACAAAGGGATATGGCGCTAACGTTGTTGTCTGCGGCCCCAAAGACCGTGAAGCTGTCGCAGCCAGGATTGTCTCGGAAACAGGCGCTCGTCTCGTTCCGCCGTTTGACCACCCAGACGTGATTCTCGGCCAAGCAACCGTTGGCCTAGAGATGCAGGACCAAATCGAGAGCCTTGATGCCGTTATCGCACCCTGCAGTGGCGGCGGCCTTCTGTCTGGCGTGGCATTAAGCTGCGAGGGAACAGGAGTGAAGGTTTTTGGAGCTGAGCCTGAGTTTGAGGGTGGTGATGATGGGCGTAGGGGCTACTATTCAGGAAAGAGAGTGACTGAGGTCAGTACCAGAACAATTGCGGACGGTCTGATTGGCGTCGTTGGAGCGAGGCCTTGGGATATCATCTACGAGAGGAGGTTGGTCAGCGGCATGTATGCGGTTTCCGAAGAGGAGATCTGGGAGGCCACAAAGCTTATTCTAGAACGGCTGAAGTTAGTGGTCGAACCGGCTGCTGCCGTACCATTGGCTGTTGCGCTTTTCAACGAGGAGTTCAGGGTTATGGTTGAGGAAGCAGCTGGTGAAAAAGGCTGGGATCTTGGCTTGGTGTTGAGTGGCGGGAACATCGGCGTCGACGGGCTCGCGAAGCTTTTCTCTTAGGTGTCGAGGTTTGTTAAGCCGGACTTTGACAGTTTTTATTATGTGAAAAACCCAGTCATTCACTAATTTCCTCCTTATTCTTGTGATGTTGTTCTTCAATGATAGCATGTGATGATGCCAAAGTATGAACATACAGGATGGAGGTCTTCGGAAACTGCTCTCTTCTAAGATTTATCGTAGAGGCTGCCAACACTCGGATGCTCCGCCAAGAGCCACAAAATTAAATGATTCTTGCGCCAGAATTACCTCCCAACCTTAACAAAGTGATAGCTAGGCGTTGGAGCATTTCTTTTCCTTCGAAATTCTAATCTTTTAGGATTTGATTGTCGCCTTTAACATTTGCAGTTTATAGACTAGCTAATCAACCAGTAGTAGCAACCTCTACTATCAGAGGTCTGTTCTTGTTGAACAGAAAAGACTTTGACGTGTGTCTTCAACTGAGACCATCCCATAGACAAATTTGAATGTTCCCACATCGAACATCAAATCCCAACATCTGGATGTTGTTTTCACGTATCATAGTAGAGCAAGACTTCCTTATCGCCCAAACAATCACCAATTCAGAATTCAGGTTCGGCATTACATGCTCGCTGGTCGTGTATTCGTGGGCTCGGGCGTAGTCGCAAGCGCGATACAAAAGGCTGAAGTTGATTCGTAAGACAAAAATACGTAATAGTTGCTAGACGACTATAGGTGTGCCTTCGTCACAGATGTTTGAAACTGTGTTATTAATTAAAAAGGCCGTCTTAGCCGGCGATGCACGCCGCCTTATGTTGCTCACGGGTGTTCTGGGAACTGCAGGCCTGACATCAGAGACGATGTTCTGAAGCAAGCCACACACTCTGAACGCGATCGATTATGGCCCACAATGTCAATAGTTCTTGGGGGCTGGCTCTAAGCCACGCGCAAGAAGAATAAGGTGTGTCTACCATATAGTGTAGATTGCGGAAATGCCTTGGGTTTAAAGTTTGACGGGCGGCCCCTTCATTGCCGAGCCTATCTAAAATCTTTATGCGCACGTCAAAAATAGACATCAGTCACGAGGTCGCGCAGATCCATGACTCGGTGTTAATTCACATCCAACAAAACATGCGGATTCCACATGGCTTCTCATATGTGCAAATAAATGTCAAACATATTGCGGTCTGCTATGGGAACTATGGCTAGAGGCTCGAAAAAAAGTAGGCGGCATACTTAAACCGTCCGATCTAGCCCACGCCAGAAACACAAAGGGCTCAGGGACAAGTCTGTCTACACGCTGACCTTGAACATCCATTCTTTTGCGGGCCAGGTTTCCTAGCCGTTTCTCTCATTATGTATTCAATTCAGGCAGTCACTCTTTTCTTCACCCTTGTTTCAGTGTGCAACTCCCAACAGTCGGGACCTGTGAGGTCTCCGTTCCCTTCAATTTCTGGTTTCCGTAACACAACCAGTGTCCCTGTATCGACGTTCATCTCTATCACCCCAACACCAGTGTCCTCATCAGTCGCCGCAACATCTTCAGCCCCGGCAACCGTGACCGTAAGCAATGGCGAGACTGTCGCCGTTGCAGCCGGCGTCGTCGTTGTCGGTGCTGGCATAGGCGGCTTTTTCACTGTCAACGGTGTTACGACGCCTATCGCAGGAGGCGCATCTGTGGTCGCCGGATCATCAGCTACGAACCCGGGTGACCCGAGCAATCCGGATGATCCAGACAAACCAAAGTCTAACGACGGCGACATTGCGACGAACTCGGGGCCAGCATCTGTGCCAGCCTCGTCCGCACCGCCGGTTAGCGCGACCAGTTCAGATATCCCCTTTTCGAGCACATCGTCGTCCGCAGTCCCAACAGGCACAGGTGTAGACTACATGATCTTTGCCAAGGAAAACACCGTCAAAGCGGACGCCGATGGCTTCGGCAACACCCTGGCAGGCCTGGTTGGTGCAGATAACATAGACAACATTGTGAATGATGCCGGCGTTCCCTATGCTTGGCGTGCAAACCTCAACCCCGATCAACTTGAGAAGGTCAAGAACGACCGCGTAATCGCCGGGACGGATATCAATGACCCTCTGACACGCGATGATGATCCGCCGGCTGGAGCCCAACCGTCGGCCACTCAGCAGAAGCGAGCCGAAGTCACGCAGACACCGATCGCCAAGAACGACATCTTTGACCTCCGTGTGCTTTCGACGCCGCCGAGGGAGAAGGAAGCACTTCCCAACTATCGATATGACGACTTCGCCGGCCAGGGTATTACCATCTATGTGGTTGATACCGGCCCGTTCGACTTGCAGCATGAAGAGTTCAGGGCGCCCAGCCCCGACATCACCCGCCGAGAGTTGAATGTTGCCAGGAACAAGAAGTTCACGCTGGAAGATACTCAGCACGGGACGTGTGTCGCTTCCAAGACTGTCGGCGGAACGACCGGAGCTGCCAAGCGCGCGAGTCTAGTCGGAGTGCGTATTGACTTCACCGAGTTCGGTCTACTTCGCGGTCTCCAGTCCGCCGCCAATGAGATCAAGCAAAAGGGCCTGAAAGGTAAGGCCGTCGTCACAACGTCCATTCTCATGAGGGCACCCGACGCCATCTATACGACCTCATTCCGCAGCGTCATGAGGTCCTTCGTCGCCTTGGACGTTCCTATTGTCGCGGCAGCCGGAAACAAGTTCTTGGACGGCCTGACCGAGCCCGACAAGTTGCCGGCAACGATGGCGAAGGATTTCCCCGTCATCGTGGTAGGCAACGCAGGGAGGGATTTCAAAATAGCCCCGAAAAGCCAGCGAGGTAATCTCGTGACGACGTATGCCATCGGTGCCGACATCAAGTGCGCGGATCCTCTCGACCTGACTGGTCTCGCGACAGATTCAGGTACTTCGTTCGCCGCACCCCAAGTTGCTGGTATGGTGGCATACTGGATGTCACACCCAGAGTTTGCTGGCGACTTGACGCCAGGCAAGGTGGCCGAGACGCTCCGCAACATGACGGGTGCCCTTTCGTACCCCCGCGTTGCCGAGACAGGATACCCTCCCATCGCCTGGAACGGGCACGACCTGGCCGAATCGTGTTCCATCCCGAACAGCGGAACCGGAAGGAGAGCAAAGCGCGCTATGAGGCGTGACCTCGGCCAGGCGTGTTCGTATGCGCCCACCTCGGTGGCTTCAGCCGCCCCGACAGCCTCAGCCCCGGCCGGCAACGCCCCGCCGTCGGGGAGCGACGTGCCTACGGCGACGACAACCTCGGTCACGGAGACGGCGACCGCTGGACCGACGACGTGTAACTTGTGCGGCGCCATGCTCGACAGTGGCAATGCAGGCAATTTGGGAGGACAGGTCGGCTGCAACGGCGCTGAGTATGCCCGGAGCTCGTGCGAAGCTAACGCCGACTGCAAATGTAAGTCTTGATCCTATCTCTCTCGCGATGTTGATCTGAACATGACATGCTGACCGAACATGATAGCTTGGGCTTACGGCAATGAAGACCGGGGGACATACACCATTCCTGTCTGCCTTCTGTTCACGGAATCGGCTACGCAAATCGTCAGCCAAGCTCCGGCAGATCCCGAGGGCAAATGCCCTTTCAGATACCACGATACATAAGGCATGCCCTGTACCATGAAGGACCTTTGTGCATGAATGGCTATTGTGGGCGTCTGCTCAAGACAACTCCTAGGTTAGAATTTCATACCGCTACCCACATCCGGCGACGCCGCAAGCTCATCGTCGGTTTGGATGTTGTGTTCTATGTAGATTAGTTAGAGATAGTTAGAGAACTTGTACATACATCCATCAGTCTATAAACTCACCTGTAACCTCTATTATCTCCTTTACGACATTGTACTGGTTGCTTGTCCGGGATTTGTGCAATTGAATCTTCAGCTTTGTCACCTTCGGCAGACCAAACCTCAACCTTTCTCAGACTCCGAGTGAGATGACACCGTTTGGCTGGACAGAGATAAAATGGGTAGTTGAAGATACCGTGAGAGACGGTGGAACAAATTCGCCCGGTCGGTAGCTTGATTCCGACAAGCTAATTTGAAAGTCAATAAGCCAATAACGAATGAAGTAGAAAAAACACCAAAAAAACATGCCCATGTCACGGAGCACAAAGGGATGGTTATCTCTCTTCATACCGCAGCGTCTGCTATTTCAAAACCGTTCACTTTGTTATATGGTGCTTTTTCAACAAGCTTCGCGCCACATACCAGCTGAACCTTCATGTGGGCAAAATATCACTTGATAATCCACGTCAGCAGAAGAGGAAGAAAACGCTCCGTCGAACTATCCCAAAAGATGTAACAAGAATCTGTCCTCATTGCCTTATGTCGTACCTTGGCGGATGCTCGAGGTTGCTGTCGAGCTGTTGTAGTGGCAGAAATCTGTAAGTGACAGAGCCATGTGTACCGAGAAAGTGCTTGGACTGTACTTATATGCTTTCCGGACTGCTCCTTACCTAATCAAAATAGGCTTAGACTTGCCGCCCCCCCCCCCCCCCCCCCCCCGGAGTGAGCCAAGTTGGTTGCGAGGATCCCCTCGAGTTCACAAGACCGGCTGAGTCTCCGCATCGGAGGGTTCCTTCGACTGTTCTACTTCAAGTTAGTTAGAACACTGCTCTTCAATGTCAGGTCAAGGCTGTTCCAATAAGAAGCAATCCGTGGATTGCTCTCTGATGAAAACCGCACCTCGACGTGGACAGATCCGTGGACAGCTCCGCGTATTCTCTTGGGTTATTACAATTGTGGTTACTTTAGTATCGTGAGATTCGACGGCTTTCAGGTTTAATGAGAGGCGGTGCATTTAACATCCGGTGATCTCACTGGACAAGCTCACAGACAAGTTCGTCTTTCATGCAATCAATGACTTGGTGACTGGTATCCCAAATATTAACAAACCGTCACGGTATTACCTCAGGGCAACGTTAGGACAATTTTGTCCATAAAGTCATGGCTGTGAAGCGTGCTGACAATCTGGGTGCAACGATCTGCAGGCAATTAAGTACTTTCATTGCATTACGCTGCTGCCAGGAAGTGCCCACTTCGATGTTTGGGGCCAGGAGCTGGCGTAATCAGACCTCTGCTTATGCAGTGGTTCTCGCAACCACTGCGGTCTTCCCTATCGCCTTCCAGCTCTTTGCTCCCCTAATCTGCCTCCCAGTCGAGCACCTCTTACTCCCTACCACCCGCGCTTCCTCCTGTCACTCCAACACGGGCGTCCTCCTCAGTATCCTCAAGAACGTCACCCGCACCTCCAATCATCGTCATCGCCAGCAATGAAGAAACTGTTGCCATGGATACGGGAATCGTTGTGTCGGGGGCGGCTTCTTCACCCTGAATGGCGCCACGACAGCTATTCCGGCGGTGCTGCCGTTACTGCTGGATCAACTGCACAGGATCCAGAGAACCCATACGACCCAGTGAATGAGGCAACCAAGAACTCAGAGCAACAGATACCTTCTAAGGTACACTTGAATGCGACCAGTTCAAGTGTACCTGCCTCAACTTCAGGAAGCCCGACCACCTCATCAGCCGCCCCCACTGGTACGGCCGCCAAATACATGATCTTCGTAAATAGAAATACTACGAAAGCAGATTCAGACGGTTTTGGAAATACCCTCAAAACCATCGTTGGCGATCAGCCACTCAATTCTATTGTAGATGAGAATGGCATTGCTTACTTGTGGCGCACGAAGCTCAGACCGGACCAACTCGATAAGGTGAAGGCTGATCGCGTCGTCGTCGACGTAATCTGTATCAGAAGGGTGCCGTTGAAAAGGAACCGACGCCAGATCCTGAGGACAAGGATCCGGAGGTTGACATCCTGCGGGTGAGGGGATCACGGTATATCACATCGACATCGGGCAGTTTGCCATGGACCACGATGAGTTCAAGACGGATTCCAAGGCTAGGCGAGAAACTATTGAAGTGAACCTCGACAAGGAAAATCGCGTTGAGGATGCGGATCACGGAACCTGCGCAGCTTCCAAGATCGTTGGCCAGGGAGTAGGCACTGCCAAATGCGCCGGCCTGGTTACGGTTCGAATTGACGCGGATGCTTGGGGCGTCATCGAGGGCCTACAGGCTGCCGCCAAAGATATCATAGCTAAAGATCTTCGAGGGAAAGCTGTTGTTTCTATCTCTGTCGGCGTGGAGACTGAAGACGCGACTATCATCGAAGACATTCGCAAGGTTCTCCAGGTCCTTCAAGAGTGGGACATTCCCCTTGTTTGTCCCTCAGGTAACAAGGGTGTTGCAGGTCGACGACTATCCCGCACTCTTCGCCGATAAGTTCCCAGTGATTGTCGTCGGCTCGACCAGCTGAAGGCTCGAAAACTCATGGTTCAGCCAACAAGGCAACCTCCTGACCACCTGGGCCGTCGGCACCTTCAGCAGCACCTTCGGGAATTCCCAGCGGAGGTAGCCCAACGACCGGCAGTCCGGTCACCACTACGGTAACCTCTCCTGCCGAAATAGCCACCGGACCTCCAAGCTGTGGTGTTTGCGGAGCGCAAGTCCCGGATGGTGTGAGCGGAGAGATTGGAGGGCAGGTTGGCTGCCAAGGAGGGATTCCGTACTCGCACAGTTCTTGTGAGGGGAATGCGAACTGCAAATGTGAGTCCCTTACATGGAACAACGTTTTGTGGCATCTTCGTACTGACCATGTATTACAGCCTGGGCTATCGGACAAGAAGACAGAGGAACCTACAGTATCCAGGTGTGCCTATTCTTTGACCAAAACGCCCCGAAGATGGTAAGCCAGGCGCCAGCAGACCCAGAGGGGAAGTGCCCCTTCAAGTACTATGACAAGGCGTGTCCGCAGCCAGCGTCATGAGTTGATGCTGGCGGTGTGGGGGTGTAGAGACGTACATAGAGAAAACGCCTAAGATAGAAATGAATTAAACAATGTTAAAGATGAAAAGTTTTCGCACTGCACGGCGGTCCACTCGGGTATAAATTTGTTTTTAGATGCCTAGAGGGTCTTTGCGTTCTTCAAACAATCGAATGTGTGCAAACTTGGGATCTGAATTATCCCCGAGGGTTAACATGAGTCGAGATCATACAATATAGCGTGTTGCTTACTACATGAGGTACATTATGAGATCTCGTCACTGACCATTTCGTGAAAACGCATTGAAATATTAGCAGAATACTCACAAACCCCCGAGGATAAGCGGCGAGAACGATGACTACATTTTGGTGCCCTTATTCCAAACCGAAAGGCATCGGGAGTTCGGATTCCAGGGGGTGGTGTGCGTTTTCAAATGCTAATGGAAGAACCAAACTGAAGAAGATTCGATTTCCCATACATTGTTATTCTTTGAGTCTTTTGGTAGCTTAATACTTCTCCCAACCCGAGCAGGCATGTGGCCGGAGGTTTAGTCGACTCTACCATTGCGCAGTCTTTAGTGTACAGGGGTCACGGAAACATTGGAGGGTACGCTTTCAAAAATCAGGTGATCACCCACAACTAACCGGGCGAATGACTATTTATATGACTGCCCATCTGGTCCCCCACCTATTTCTCTAAAGCAAGAAATCAGGCCTTTGTACGTGAATGTTTTGAGCAAGCCTAGCTCATACATGACGAGTCGCGTTGCATATCTTTGAACGCGATCTCATTCTCTGTTGCGACAGCTTTTGTATGCTCGCTCGGCACCTTTCAATGTCACTGTCCAGCCAGGAGTGCTTATTGTTGAATACTTCGGTAGAGACGGAGATTCAACTACCAAGGTACAGCTGAGACCACGCAGATTGACATGCCGGAACATTTCAAGCCCTTGCAATGAAGAGGCCAGCTGCATGAGCGCGCTTGGTTAATGAAGAAATTTTGTTGTCGTCAAGACACTCAAGTTTCGTGACTTCCCGTATTATTTAAACCTTCTCCAACTCAAGGGTGCCCAAGGGTTTTCACTTTGAGTCTTTTGACCGCGACATACACGAGACTCCCTTCTATCGGGCTGATGCAGAGGATGGAAGGACTGGTATATCAACAGACCGGTGCTGGGAATCTCGGAAGTTGAAGCCGAAGAACAACACAATGCGCGGTTGTGAATCCATGCGCATTATGGTTAGCGAAGGCGATAGTGCGCTGCAGTCTTATAAGACATCTGAGCAGCCATCCCAGACGACACCCACTCAAAATCACCGCAAGCCTGTCCGAGTTGCGTTGCCGTCGTCCTTGATTGTCGCCTTGGTATACTGGGAATACATGATTACCATACTGGTTACATTAGCTTTCACTCCCATAGGATACGATGGCATAACGCCTGGCACACATGTCTGTAAGCTGATCACGCACTCAGCCATTGCGTTTACTAGCCCCAACTGATATGATTGTGTCTTGTGTCAAGGGCACTTACACGAGGAGCCGCCTTTAAATAGGTAGACTGAGATGCGTGCCTGAGTCTTCACGACCTATTCCCTCGCTTACCCGCTCTCAGCCCGCCTTCCACCAGGGCTTACCTCTCTGCCTCAACTCAGCCCGTTGACACATTCAACACATATACAGCTTCATGAACTTGTTCAATATGATTTGATTCTCAAAAGACAATGGTCTCAACTATGCCACAACACGCCGTCCTCGGACGTAGGAAGTTTAAAAAGAAAAGAAACCCGCACAATCCAAAGTCTACCCACTCCCTGCCCCCCGTACGGCAGTGACACTTCCATTCAGTAAGTATCCTACCCTCGAGGGCAAGTTGGAAACAAAGTAGACACCAACAAAGGGGCGAACGCAAATCTCATGCATTCCCTGGCATCCGGCCGCCCCCGTTCCCCAAAAACGCCCCTAAACTCCTATTTCCCTAGTATCTTTCTCTTCTTGATGCTCTTTTTTTGTGGACAATCAAGTGCACACCAATGTGCGTTGTGTGTAAATTATTCGCGGTTCCGATGCCCGGTGCCTTCTGTCCGATATGGAAAGAAACAAGGAGCGGTAGCCAAGTCTCTGTATCCAGAAATGTGAGAAAAGGAATGTTTTCCTATCCGCCATCCGTCCCGGGTTTCGTTTTTTCTATTCTGTCGTGTTTGACTCGGTTTCCGTAGGAGTGTGCCGTCGATCGAGAGAAGATGAAGAAAAGACAAAGTAAAATTCTCTGATCCGAGGCCTGGTCTGGTCTATGGCCTACGGCCGGCGTGGTTCGGTATGCACATCTTTCCTCGTGTGCTGGGTGGTCCGTGTTGTATCGCGGTAAATTGTAAATGTGGGTATAGCCGGCCGAAGGTTACGGGAGGGAGCTGGTATCGCATGAGAGTAGGTCCGGCTGCGGTCATGGAAGGTCCTATGCCGTCTGGAGGCAGCGTGACCGAGATCATTGCAACAAGTCCTTGACGTTCTCTTTTACGCTCAACGCCCACTTCAACTTCGCCAACGTCGATCTCGTCTCTTCCAATAACCTCTCCTGCTCCGCTTCCCTCTCGGCCGCATTCGTCTTGATGCTCTTCAATGCCTCCTCTTGCTCCGTCTTGTAATCCGAAAACTTCTTCTCCATGTCCTCCTTCTGCCGTTGCAGCTCCTTGATGTTGCCGTCCTGCTGGTCGCACAGGTCCCTCAGCGTCGTGATCTTGTCGTCGTCCCTCCTCCTCTCCTCGACGAGCCCCGCAATCTCGGCACGCAGCTTGAGATGTGCGCGCTTCACCTCGTCGCCCTGGTCCTTCCAGTGCGAGCTGATAGCGTTATACCGCCCCTCCATCAGCGCGGCGTGCGTGTTGGCATCCTCGACCTGCTTCGTCGTGCTGGACCGCATCTTCTCCATCTCGTCGCGCCACATCTGCTCCTTGGCCTGCGCGTCCGACGTGCGCTTCTTCTCGAGCTCCACGTTCCCCTGGAGCGTCTCCACCTGGCGCTCCTTGCGGCTGAGCAGCGTCTTGGTGACGCTCGCCTCGAGCAGGCGGCTCTCGTAGTCGCTGATCAGGCGCTCCATCTTGTCCTCAACGAGCTTGGCGGCCTGCTTCGCCTCCTCGGCCCGTAACCGCTCGATCTGGATGTCGCGCTTGAGGGCCTCATTGTCGCTGACGAGCTTGTTGATGACACGGCCCGTCTTGCCCAGGCCCGCCTTGCCGATGGTCGAGTCCCAGCCGGCGCCTTGGGATTCGGCGGCGGCGGCGGTGTCGTCGTCGACGGGGGGCGAGGCGTCCCTCGGCTTGAGGGTTGCGTCGCCGTTGGACCATTCCTGTTTTAGCTTCACGCTCGGGGGCGTTCTGTCTTGGTGGTTGGAGGCCATGCTGACGGCGCTGGCGTTGCTGTTTACGGAGGATGAGAAGGCGGAGTTGCGGGAGTGGTGGGTGTCGGAGCTCGTGTCGCTCGCGGCTTCGAAGCTGGGTACTGTGCGGATGGTCTGGACCATCTTTTGGGTGCCTCGGGGAGACGGGGAGGGGCTGCTCGTCGACTGGATTCTGTTGTTCCCGTCGAAGCGAGTGCTCATGCTAACGTTGCGGGCAGCACCGGCGGTTGATGTGGCGAGGCTGCGGTTGGACTGTGGACCATTTAACAGGGTATTTGTCGTCGCTGTGGTCGCCGAGGAAGGGTTCGCTGAGGATGCTTTGCGGGTGTCTATGGTGAGAGGAGACGTTAGCCATGGATAATTCTCCCCAGAGATCTGCTTACCCCCCCTCTCTCTTTCGGGCCGTCGAAGGTAGTGGCGCAAGGACGGAAGCGACGTCGATCGAGAGAGGCTTCAGGAGTGGTGGACTGGCGGCGGACGGGGCGAGGTTTCAAGCAAACAGCGGGAAGGACGGGGACCCTTACCGAGAATGAAGCCCTGGAATTCGGGGACTTGGGGAGGATTAGAGGGGATGCGCTGCGTCTGTTGCTTCTGTGGTTTTTGGAGTTTACTGGGCATGTCTCTCGTTCATTGTCCGTCTTGTGAAGGTTGCGTAGTCCGGGTAGGCTGGTCGAGGTTAAGATAGTTCGCGGGCTGGGTGTTGGGTAGCGCGTGGGAGTAGTAAGGTACGGTTGGTAGGCGGTTCAAGTATGTAGCAGCGGATGGTGGTTGCGGCAGACGGGAGGATGGGAAAGTTTGGGGGGGAGGGGAGCGCGTTCGTCTTTTTTGGATCGGGGGTGTGTTCGCTTCAGTGGTCGAAAACGGCGGGCAGCATGTGCGTCTGATGTCGCGGCGGCCGTTCGAGGGCACGAGGGGTGGCTGACGTGGGATCCTTGGGAGGGTTGGAATGAGAGCTGCAGCTCTGCATCAAGCAGGACAAGACAAGCGATGGCGATTCCAGACGTTTCTTGGGGCGGAAGTCCGGGGCGATGCTTGGGACGAAGTTCCTCGGTGCGCAATGGCGATGCGATGCAGGGAAGAACGAGAATCTCGCTCCGCTCGGTGCCTGGCCTGATCCTGATCACGGAGTGGAAGGCTGGCTGGTAGTGGTATTTCGTAGACTGCAAGCTACCTAGGTACGACACCTAGAAATAAACAGCCGACGAACGTGGGTATGTGTGTTTTGTGTGTCTCTGCTTGCTCGGGGCCGTGTGTTTGGAGGCTACGTCAGTCAGGTCATTTTCCTCTGACAGGAGGTGGGAAAGGAGGGTCGAGCGAGAAGGGGAAAGCCCAGATAAATTAGTGTAAAAGAAGGGCCGCTCTGCTATGAGCATGGGATGGAAGAGAAAGAGCAAGACGACACGACAGGAAAAGTCCCCAGTTTCTCCTTGCAGCGCGTCCAGTGTCCAGTCCTTGGTTAGCGAGGCCGGGTTCAATGGCAATGTTTTTCTGCGGCCCCCAGATTCCAATTCTAAAGTGGATGCCTTTCCATTTCCTTTTTTTTTTTTCGGTGCACTTGCAAGCAATTCGAATGAAGCCGGTCCAGGCACAAGCAAAGCACAGGCATAATTAAGACTCACACACGCGGATGGGCGGGAGCCACCACACCGCGTCGGGGAATCAACACCGCCCAGCTACGAAAACAGTCTAGCACAACACAACCACTTTACTTCGCTACTATGTATGTACTTGTGCGAGTACTGCCGCCATCGCCAGGCCTTGCCCACCACACTCACGCCAGACTCCCGACCGGCTGGGCAGGCAAATCACAGCGGACCACGAGCCCTGCGAGGCCACCACCTCCCAGGTCCTTCCGGGCTGCCGCAGCAGGGCCAGCCAGTCGGACCCCACTAAAAAGCAGGAGACCACCCTGTTCCCCAGCAACGAAGATCGCTGCTGCTGCGTCAGTCTGTATCCGTCCAGTACTGGGTGCTGCGGCTGCTGCTGCTGCTGAGAACACAAGTCAATGCACGGCCCCTCGCATGTCCTCTTTCGTGACCCCCGTCCGTCTTTTTTGTGCCTGCCCATCTTAGCTAAGGGGGGCTCAGGCAAGGGGAACATGGTGAAGCATTGAGGCGTTGTTGTCGATGTCACTCACAGACGGATGTTGATGGTTGGATGCATTACATCGAATTTCCCTCTTGTTTGAGTTGAACAACAACCAACCGCAGCATAGGCACCCCTTTCTCCTGCGGCACCACACCCACAACAGACCAGCGCCTATCAACCCATCAACACCAGAAATATCTTGACACAACGAAAGAAGAATAGCATTGCCTCCTCGCATAAAGTCAACTGCACCCCATCTCCCGCCCCCCTCGCCTCCCGCAGAATGAGACTTGCAGCAATCAACGAGAGATGCGATTTCGAGAAAAAGCAAAGCCCAGCCCGTTTCCCCTCAATCCCATCCAGTCCCAACTCCGCCCCCGGCCCCCAGCGCAGATCAAAGACAACATCGTGCTCGATCCAACCCTCCCAAGGTTCCTCCCATCCTCGGTCCGCCTCTGGCAGCGAACCCCCTCGTAGGGCGCTGCCTGTCCTGGTCGTATCAGTGACAAAGCATCAGACCCCTTGAACATGCGTCTTGTTCACAACAAACCAACTTCAACCAAGTGCATGAACGAATTCCGTTCCACCCTTTGATCTAGCATAGCTAGGTACTCAAAATCCGACAACGAGGCTGAACAAATCCCAAACGGAAAACGAAACCCAAAAATGGCAACTCTCCCACGAGGCCAACTACACAGAAACACCAGAGTTCCTTGGACAAAAGGTTGTTATTATTATCATCAGACTCTTAACCTCGAGCCGAAAAGTATGCCCAACTACCCTACATCATCAGAGAACATTGAAAACAGCCCAGCATCGTCAGATCTTCGGCTTCATCTGCATCCTCTCTTGGCGCAACACCGCAACTGCACAACATTGATCAAAGCCTCTCTACGCCCAAGTTAACCCCTCCCCGCAAAAAAAAAAAAAAAAAAGCCTCCTGATCCGCCCGCCCCTTTCTGTCTGTAACAAAATATTCTCCGACGCAGCATTTCCTTCCCGTAAACCTACACAAAGAGACTGGATGTCACCCGTCCTTCCCCAAGCAAGGCAAAGCTCAAAAAAACGCATCGACCAACAACGCCGGCAGATCACCCACGCGCCGCACGCCGCCGCCCCAGCCATCCATCCCCCCTTCGCATTAGTGTCGGTCGGTCTTCCGGAGTCTTTGCTCGGTCTGGCCTGGCCTCTCGGCCCCCCGGACCCAACCACTGATAGCCCCACAGCGTCCGTCCAAACCGCTCCCGCCCTTCCCGTGCGTGCCAAGATGGCGCCTCACAGACAGCGGTCTTTGCCTCACTAGCTAGGAATGGGAATTCGTCTTTCGAATATCCGGCAGACAAAGATCTGGAACACGGCACTCGAAGATCTCTCCGGAAACCTGATTTCCATTTGCTAAGCTTTAACTTTTGAGACTTCACCTCCGTTTGCCTTGCGAAGGGAACTCCTAACCCTTGATGTTATATATGCACAGTAGTAATCCGTACACTCCATGGTCTTCCCGTGGAAAACCTCATAGTCAAACGCCAATTCGATGCCATGCTTAGCCATTCCCGCGTACGATTCCCCTGCCTTTCTGCGCTGGGGAGTCCTCGAACGTTCTCTCTTTAGGGTATCCTCAGTCTGAAGCTCAAACAGCCCATGAACCACCATCGTTGACCACTGCCCGCCAGTGTCCACAGCGGACCTCTCTCTCCACATTCCAGTCCGCGCGTACCTTTTTTGCCGTCTACATCCTTTGTTGTGCTCATGTGTATGTCTGTGTGAAAAATCATCCATGGTCGCGTCATTGATTGACGGCCGCATACAAGCGACCATCTTCACGTCGCGATGGCCGTGTTGTTGGTCGCCGCGGCAGCGTTGTTGTTCTCCGCGTCGCCCTTGGCCGCTTGGAGGAAGGCCGGTCTGAACTTGACGAGGTACTTCGCCGCCAATGGCTTTGCGTCCTCGACTGTAGTCGGCGTTAGCAAGCATACCAGTACACAAAGACGGGTCTCAACTTACACTCTGTCCAGATATTTTGCACAGTATCCAGAGCCATCTCCTTGGCCGGCGGCCGCATCATGACCAGGTACAGCAGACTCGTCAGCGCCAGCGGGACGACTGTCGGGTCTCGACAGATGGCCTTGACGCGCGACAAGATCGCCGGGCTAAGCTCGGGAATTTCTCCCAAGAACCTCGTAAGCACCTTGTCCTGCGCATTGAGATATTGCGAGAAGCCGTCGATGAGCTTCAACGCCCACTTTTCGTAGTGCATGGGTTGATCGCCGGCTTGCTTCTTCTGCAGCTGGTCATTGTACCACTCTTCCGTCAGCCATGTGATGGCTACGTCGATCCGCCGTCGGAAGTCTTCGAGCACGTAGGTATATAGAGATTCTCTGATACTGTTGCCGAGTGAGAACCGTGCCGCGGAGCTACTGCTCTCGTCTTTGACGTCTACCCCCTCCAGACCTGCCGCGGACCTGCTAGCCAGACGTGTGATAATGGCAATCCACGATTCACGATCATTGCTACTAGCCGCCAATCGATTGATGCCAGACTTGGACTTCTTGGCCGGATCTTCGAGCGTCTTCACGAACTGGAACAGGGACATCACAGAACCTTGACCCGCGCTGAGCGCCATTTCGGGCGTCAGCGTCGGTGGCGGTGGCAACCTGAAGGACCTGAGCCCAAAGTCACCGTCATCCAGCTTGGCCACACTATCGCCATCAAGCTTGTTCAGGATCTGCTCGTTGTCCTCGGCCGCAGAAAAGTCCGGCTCGTAGTCGTCATCGTCCTCGTCTACACCAAGCGGTGCAGTTTCTGGGTTAATTGGGGGTGGTGGCTGGGCAGCCAACGCATTGAGTCGTCCACGAATGCCCTACGGAGTGTTAGATGGGCGCCTCGGTTCGTGGCAGCGAACTTACCTCGAGCGCCTTCATAAGCAGATGTTGATCTGTGCGGATGAGGGTGGTGATGCTGATCTTGGCGGCCATAGCGGGAGGCAGCGTTGCTACGTCAAACGCCTTGAGGCCTTCGCTGCCCGTGAGTGTGAACACATCGCCGAGGCTGTGAGGGCCTGGCGGCAGCGGTGTGATCTGGATCTGTGGTGTTGTCGATACTTGTGGTACCAGTCGCTGACGCTTGGGGTCCATGCCGTCGTGGTGCTGAGCCTCATAAGCCCGTTTGCGGCCGGCCTCGTCGAATATCTCGTTTCGCATACGCATCATCCTCTCGACGTGCTGCTGGATTCGTGGCGCCATGGGGTTGTGCGGGTCGCTGGGTGCATGTTAGTCGGTGGCAAACACCAGCCAGAGACAGTGGAAACAGTACCGTTTGGACAAATGGATCAAGAGCATACGGGTGGTCTTTTCCATGGACTTGACCATTACGCGGGTTTTGGGAGTCATGGGCGAGTTTGCGAGCTTCAGTGGGTTGAAGTTGAGCACGGCATTCAAGATCCTGTTGGCCGTGCCGGGCCGTGTGCGGATCAAGATGGACAAGCAGTTGAGAGTGGCATCAACAATGAGGACATCACTATCACCAGGGCG